CGAGGGCCTACCTCAACAAGCCCCAACTGCACACAGAACCTGTGGTGGTCACCAAGCGCCAGGGCCTTGGTGAAGACATCTGCAGTGTTGGCCTCTGGGGCCACAAAGTCCAGGCGTGCCTGGCCGCGTCGCTGCAACTCTCGCAGGAGGAAGTACCTCACGTCAATATGCTTCACTCTGCTTTCCAGTCGAGGCTATTGACAGAGGAGGATCATGGCCTTGTTGTCAGCGTACAAGGTCGGTGCAGAGCGAGGCCGCTCACCAAGGTCGGCGAGCAAGAAGTTCAACCAGCGAAGCTCCTGTGCCGCCATGGCACCAGCGTAGATCTCTCCCTCTGCACTGGAAGTAGCCACAGACGACGACCGCGTAGACCTCCACGACACAGCACCAGCTCCCAGACTGAAACAGTAACCCTGAGTCGAGCGCTGAGTCGCCACGTCGTCAGCGTAGGAAGAGTCGCAATGACCAGTCAACGCCACTGGTTGAGTCCCTCCAAGCACAAGCCCCATGCCTGATGTAGTCGCCAGGTACTTCGCCACCCACACAGCAGATGTCCAGTGGACAGGACGGTGTCTCCCAATCGCAACAAAGCGAGAAAGGATGCTGAGGGGAAAGGCGAGGTCCGGCCGAGTACAAGTCATCAGGTACATGAGGCAGCCCACCAGCTCTGCGTAGGGACCACTGGACTCAAAGGGCTCGTCCGGAAAAGGGCCAGTGAGTCTGTGGTCAACCGCAAGAGGTGTGGGCTATGTGGTGGAGAACTGGAAGTCGAACAGCCGAAGGACCTGCTGCACCATGTGTGACTGAGTCAGTGTGATGGTGCGAGCGGCTCTGTCCCTGGTGATCTGCAGGCCAAGGTAGCGCTGCAGTTCACCTAGGTCAGTGCACTTGTGTCTCTTCTGCAGTTCGGACTTCACCTGAGCCAGAGCTGCCCTGTCTGCTGTGGCAAAGACCAAGTCGTCGACGTACACTAGTATAAAGAAAGGAGTGGAACCAGTGCGAACAAACAGCGACGGGTCGGCAGAGGAAGGACGAAACCCAAGGTCACAAAGCGTGGAGCGAAGAGTGTCGTGCCACTCACGGGGCGACTGGCTTAGACCGTAGACTGGCCGTCTCAGGCTCCACTGGGTCCCAGGTGGGAAGGTGTCAGTGAAGCCAGGAGGTCGGCGCAGCCATATCTCCTCGTGTAGTCGGCCCTAGAGAAACGCAGTAGAGAAGTCAAGGGAGTGCAGCTCGTAGTCTCGCTGTGCTACTACGTGCAGTAACACCCGAAGAGTAGTCATCTTCAGGGTCGGGGCGAAGTTCTGGAAGAAGTCAACTCCCTCACGCTGACTGAAACCCCTAGCCATGTAGCACGCCTTGAACACAGGCGGTGAACCAGGCGGCCGCTTCACCTTGAAGAGCCACATGCCATCGACTACGTTCGCCCTGGGAGGGGGAACTGCGTCGACGTAGGTGCCTGTGGATCTCCAAGACGCTAACTCCGAGGCCATAGCCGCTTTCCACTGTGAGGCCCACGCCCCTGACACTGCCTCGCGGTAAGTACGAGGAGTCGGTATGTCAAGGGCGTTGGAGTCTCCCTCAGAGGATAGCAGCATGGCCCAGACAGAGGGAGAAGCGGCTGCCTAGTACTCCAGCTCATACTCTCTGTCCTCTAGGACGTCACAGCCAAGGGCAAACTCACCCCTGACGGACAGAGGACGGGAGGGAGGAGCTGGCACCACACGGGTGGTGTAGTCAAGGCGACTGGCGGCAGCAAACTCAGCGACAGCGGCAGTGAGAGCCGAGACAGATGACAGAGGGAAACGAGAGTCGGTGACAAGAGTGGCGAGGACACGAGAGACAACAGGACGAACAACACGGTAGTAGTCAGTGACAGGAGTAGGGGGGAAAGGGAGAGAGGACGGAGGAGGAGACGGGAGAACGGACTCAGGAGGAGGACGACGAAGAGACGAACAAAGGAGGGCAGTGCGGAGGTCGGTAACGGGAGACGAGTGACGAGCACGCGGAGGACAGGGACGGACACGAGAGTGTGGGACAACAGGTGGAGGAGACTGTGGTGGAGGAGAAGACCGGACCGCCGGACTGTCGTCAGGAGGAGGAAACGTGGAGGAGAGGAGGGAAGACCAAGGGCCCGAAGGCCACTCACGGGTGGGAACAACTGCCGCTCCAGAGGGAGCTGCGGTGGGCGCGGCTGCGGCGGCGGTGTCTGCTGCTGCGGCGGCGGCTGCTGCTGCTGCTGCTCCAGCAGGTCCAACTGCCGCAACTCCTGCCGCTCCCTCTCCAACACCACCTGCTCCTCACGCGCACGCCGACGGGTCGCTTGGAGACGCGTGTCGTGGCAGTGGGGAGGCGGAGTGGACTCCGCAGAACCAGTGTCTCCAGCTCCAGTCTCCTCAGAACCAGCACCTCCAGTGCCAGCGCCTCCAGCACCAGCACCCCCACGACCAGCACCTCCAGGACCAGCACTCCCAGAACCAGCACCTCCTGTGCCAGCACCTCCAGCTCCAGCACCCCCAGAACTAGCACCTCCAGTGCCAGGACCTCCAACTCCAGCACCCCCAAAACTAGCACCTCCAGCTCCAGCACCCCCAGAGCTAGCGCCACCTGCGCCAGCACCTCCAGCTCCAGCACCCCTCGATTGAGCACCCCCAGACCGAGCACCGCCAGCGGCTGCACCTCCAGCTCCAACACCAACCGAGTCTACAGGAACCTGTCGCGGTAGTGCCGAAGGCTGCTGAGGGGACTGTGAGGAGGACTGCGGGGAGGGAGACGCTCCCTGACGCTCGACCGAGGGTAGAGGGGTAGCGTGGGACACACCAGACGGGGTAGGACCAGGGGGGGGCGGGGATACCGGAGGAGCGGGAGCATGAGGAGGAGAGGGTGCGAGGAAAAGGGGGGGAGGGGGTACTGGGAGACCTCGACAGGGGTACCAGGTGTAGTAGGACACGGACTCGTCAAACCGGACGTCACGGGAGTCTAGGAACTGGTGGAGGGGAGGGTGGTAAAAGGACCAGTCGGCAGAGTCCACCGGGAAACCAAGGAAGACACAGGGGACGGCGCGTGCCGAGAGCTTGTCCGCGGAGGTGTCGCGAACAAGCGCAAGGCAGCCCCCGACACGAAAGGCCGACCCAACACCAGGGGACCCGGTCCAAAGACTGGTCGGTGAAGGCTCAGGCCGCGAGACGCGCGGCTGGAGGTTCAGCTGGTGTGCGGCGTAGCGAACCACGTAGGGCCACAGAAAATGGGGCGCACGGGCATGGATCATGGACGTGCGAGCAATGTCCATGACCAAGCCAATGCGGCGCTCAGCAACCCCATTCTGCTGTGGGGACTCCGGAAGCGTCCAGGACTGTACGATGCCGTGTTCGCCGCAGATTCCGCCAAGAATGCCGGAGCGAAACTCGCCCTCACGGTCGGAGTGTAGACAACTGACACGACGACCACGAGTGCCCTCAGTGGCCAGAAGCCACCGGATCAGCGTAGCAGTCACATCGGGCTTCTTCGCTAGAGGAAACACTGTGGTGTACGTGGAGAAGTCGTCGACGACCACCAGAAAGTAACGCTCTCTCCCAGATCCCTGCGTCGGGGCAGGGCCCCAGACGTCCAAGTGGAGAGTCTCGAAGGGAGCAGTGGCCGGACGAAGGGAGGAGGAGTGAGGAGTGGCGCGTAAGCGACCGGCGACGCAAGGAGTGCAAGGGGGAGCAAGTGAGGTAGGGAGCGACGGAAAGGTGCGTGGGAGACCTGTGACAAGCCCCTGGCTGGTCATGCCGCGGAGGCGGGGGAGCGACGGGTGACCAAGGCGGTGGTGCCACAAGACGATCCGGTGGGTGAGGGAGCGACAGGAGCAAGACGCAGCAACCAGACAGGACACCGCGACCGGACTAGACACTGCAACTGTACCAGACACGACCACCTGGCTAGACACAACAACCGGACTAGACACCTGGACTGGAGGGGACGCAACGACCAGAGCGGACGACGCAACCGGGGAGCGCTCGGTGTGGAGAACGTAGAGACAGGAGCGGGGCTCCCTGGTGAACGTGGCCAGAACAGCACCTGTGGCAGCGTCTGTACAGACCGCAGTCCTCCCACCCCCCACAAAGGTAACTGTGATCCCCCTGTCCTGGAGGTAACCAACACCCACCAAGTTCCGAGTGAACGAGGGGATGTGAAGGCCGCGCAGGACACCAGAGGGGACCACAGGACACGGGAGGGTAGTGGAGCTACGCGCAACGGCTGGTCCTGAGGTAGGATCAGCCAGAGCTACCGAAACAGGAGTAAGGAGTGGCGTGAGGGTCGTGTGGTCGCGGAAGAAGCACTGAGACGCACCAGAGTCCAGCGTGAAGGACAGGGACCCCTCAGCCGGAGGGTCACCTGTCCTAGTGGCTACACAAGCACCTAGAGCAGCAACACAAGCACCTAGACTAGAAAGGCACAAGTCTACACTAGCACGAGGCAAGCAAGCTAATCTACGAACACGCGAGCACACAAATCCATCAGCACTATAGTCAACATCAGCATACAAAGCATGCTGACGAGCATCGTCCATGGACAGATCAAACACATCAATCTTACGGGCTAACAGGTGAGCCCAGCGAGGCGTGGTCGCCGCAGGGCCCCAACGAGCACGGTAGAGGTCGTCGAGGCGGCGGAAGCACCGCACGGCAGAGTGGTCGTCGCGACCGCAGAGACAGGGGCTGCCCGGTCCGGTGAGGCACCAGTGGGTGCAGGGGCCAGTGTCACGGCGAGGGGGGCGAGGGGCCTAGCTGGAAGTACTGCCGCTGCGGCCGGTGCTCCCTGGTCCTCTCGGACCCCACTGCGACGGGGGACCTCAGTGCTGCTGCGGACCCCACTGCAATGGGGGCCCCCACTGCTGGAACTGCTGCGGTGCCTGCTGCTGCTGCGGTCCCTGCTGCTGCTGATGTCCCTGCTGTGGCTGGTGCTGCTGCGACTGCTGCTGCTGGGGTCCAACACCCCCACTGGTCGGGCCACCGCCAATGGGCGGGCCTGTCTGTCCTGCACCTCCTCCAAGGCCCCCTCCTTCCGGTGCACCTCCTCCGCCGCCACCGCCGCCGCCGCCTCCACCACCGCCGCTCCCACCTCCACCGCCACCTCCACCGCCGCCTCCACCGCCTCCACCTCCCCCCTTCCCGCCCTTCTTGCTACTCTTGCCCCGTTTCTGCCAGTCTGCGGCAGAAACGGCAGCAGTGTCGTCAGAAACCGACACAGCAGCAGAAGCGCGGGTAGCAGTGAAAGTGGGAAGCTGAGGGGCGGCACACCCCGCAAAGAGACAGGGGGCCACCGCGTCAGTGGCGGAGGCAACGGTAAGGAGGCTACTCTCGATCGTCCCGAGAGCGGTCTCAAGGAGATCGATAGTGAGCTCAGTGGGGTGCTTCTGGAGAAGCGCGTCGCGAGCAGTGGCAAGGCGGTCAGGGAGGCGGGTGACTAACCAGTGCACAGTGAGCCACATGGGTGGGGGAGCAGCAAGAAGCTGGGCGTCGGTACAGGCCGCACGGAAACCTGCGTCAAGTGAGCGGAGGTGAGTGACTAGGTCGGACAAAGTCGCAAACGAGCCGAGTTCGGGAAACACGAACGGCATGAGGAGGCAACTAAGGGAGGCAGAGGAAGGGGTGGAATAGCGCGCAACAATAGCATCCCAAACCCCCTGAGCTGTCTCCACCTGGTCAAAGTGGGCGGCCTCAGTCGGGGGGAGGAGCTCCGTCAGCGCAAGAGCGGCGGCAGCGTCCCGGGAGTTCCACACGTCTCTCGCCAGGACCCGACGGTCGTAGTCCACCTGGGCCGCAGGAGTCGGCTCTGGGCTGGTCGGCAGGGGGGCGGGGGACTGGGGCGCCTTGAGGGCACCAGATGCATGGGCCCACAGGGTGGCGCCGTCCTGACACTGACTGGTGAGGTAGCGCGTGGTCTGGCGCTGCCAGGTACTGAACTCGATCGGGCGTCCCTCCTCATCAAAACGAAGGCGGCGGGATTCCATAATGGAGGCCATGCTATAGGCGGCTGGAGCACGGAGGAGGCGGGTCTAAGAGCGAGGAGGGAAATCTAGGAGCGCCAGGTGTGGAGAGGCAAGAGATCGGCGGAGCTAGTGGCTAGGAGCTGGTGGCCACACGGGTCTAACCTAGGCGACCGGTGAGAGTAGCGGCTGCCAGCCGCTGAGTGGAAAGCCTGTAGCAGTAGGAACGGTTTTAGCCCGGGGGTCAGGGCGGTGGCTAGGTGAGAAGTGGCGGTTGGGACGTGAGGAGGAGGTGGCGCGTGGGTTAGGGCGCAGCCTAAGGCGAGGGCAAGGGCTAAGGCGAGGGCGCGGGGCCTAGGCGAGGGCGGGGGCGAAGGCGAGGGCGCGGGCCTAGGCGAGGGCGTGGGCTAAGGCGAGGGCGCGGGCCTAGGTCGCGGGCTGGGGCGACGGGCTAGGGCGCGGGCCGGGGCGACGGGCTAGGGCGCGGGCCTGGGCGACGGGCTAGGGCGCGGGCCGGGGCGACGGGCTAGGGCGCGGGCCTGGGCGACGGGCTAGGGCACGGGCTGGGGCGACGGGCTAGGGCGTGGGCCTGGGCGACGGGCTAGGGCGCGGGCTGGGGCGACGGCCTAGGGCGCGGGGTGGGGCTACGGGCTAGGGCGCGGGCCGGGGCGACGGGCTAGGGCGCGGGCCTGGGCGACGGGCTAGGGCGCGGGCTGGGGCGACGGGCTAGGGCGTGGGCCTGGGCGACGGGCTAGGGCGAGGGCCTGGGCGACGGGCTAGGGGCGCAGGCTAGGGGCGCGGAGGGCGCTAGGCGTGGAGGTCCGCGACGACGTGGGATAGGGGCGCGGAGGGCGTTAGGCACGGAGAGCGCTAGGCGCGGAGGTCCGCAACGGCGTGGGCTAGGGGCGCGGAGGGCGCTAAGGCGCGGAGGAGGGCGCTAAGGTGCGGAGAGGGCGCGGAGGGCGCGGAGGTGCGCTAGAGAGGGCGCGGGCTAGGAGGTAACGAGGAACTAACCTACTCGTGATACCATCTGAAAGTTAGAATGCAACGGAATGAATGAACTAGCAAAGTGTTGGATACAAATAGGAAACCCTAACATCTGTAACCTCTAAAATGCATCTCATTACAGCCTATAACTATGATAGTTGACAGAAGATTCCATATGGGTAAGATAGAAATTTGAGGTATTTAATTCAAGCCCTCATAAAGAATCAGGAGGGGGCGTTACACTGTTTTCAATTCCTTTAGAATCAGTTACAAATGCCGGTGGTGTTTTTTGCATTGTATCAGCAGTTTAGATTTGAGCCATTCTAACACATTAAGGCATTTAGTAGGAACGGCCTAACACATAATATTTACACTTGAGGATATTCTGTAAAGGAGTCCTCGACTGAGTATTGCCAAACCTAAACACCCTACCGTGCCAGAGTTCGCTCCCACGACCACACCGCTGGCGAATCAAACACGGCCAAGGTGCGCTTCCCTCTGCCACATGGCGTGCTCTGTGCGTTGAACATGCTTGTTTTTTCGCTCGCGCCGCTAATTGAGTTGAACCGAGCCGCGGATAGTGCATTCTGAGTTTTGATACGAGTTTCTGCGCTCGGCATTTTCAACACAACAGATGCTGCCTCACCGACCACTCACTCAGTGTCCTCTCGAGACACTCTACTCTCCAGCCACATGGAGAGTAGAATCGTCATTGTCATCGTGAGTCACTGGGTCGCCTTGAGAAGAGGATAACATCTCACGTTCGGTCTAGACTCACTTACAGGCAGCACAGTCGCGTGGTTGGCCCTGATTCTTCCGCCCCAAGTCATGTGTATTAGGCAGCTCTCGCTGCTCCTTCCCCTCACAGTTGCACTCATCGCCACTCCCGTTTGCTCGACAGCTGGCACTCCGCGGCGGCAGTTGCGGAAGGCGCAGCCAGCAGTGACACCAAACGCCACGCTCGTCCTGCTTGCGAACAACACGTTCGGCGCTAAATGCCTCGACGGAAGGTACTTACTAGCCAGCCAGCTGTCCGCAGCGAAAGGTTTATAATAGTCGCGACGGAGGTTGCGAGAGTTGTCGGAGGTTGCGGAAGGAGCAAGCTCGCGGCTGACTAAATGGAAATCGAGTCTCTTCCCACCATGGTAGTCGCACGCTGAACAGCTTACCCCGGCTGCTTGCGTAAGCACACTGGCATCTCGCGGGCTCCCGTGCACTCAATTCTCCTGCGTTCGCCGGACCACTCATCCGCGCCCTCAGGCGCGATAGGATTTACAGGCACCCCATATCCACTCGACAGCCCCTCGACGCCGAAAGAGTGGGCCTCCACTCCTTGCACGCGCGTCCACCCTGTCGTGGTGCGATCGTGGCTGGTCGCGAGCCGAGTGTGGCTCTGCTCAAATCGCGGACGTTGGAAAGGAACACCCGTACGCTGCGTTTTCCCGTCCCTTCTTCCCCCTCCTTCCAGCTGGTCTGCGACGTCTTCCCTCCTCGCTGACTCCCCGTCGCACTCTTCCGCCCTCCCGTCACCCCCCTCGCCATGTCCCCGCGTGCACACAGTGGCGACGCGCCGTGGGCTCTCTGGCAGCTCAGCCACCCGCGGGAGTTGCCGCCACGCGGAGCAGCTGGTCGGCGCAGCCGCCACTTCCGCCTTCCAGCGCCTTCGACCCGCCCAGAAACCTCAAACACCCCGTTCCCTTACCTTTCCCCTCTACCTCGGCCCGCGCAGTCCCCCCGGGTACTACTTCCGCCCAGGCGCGGCAACGGGCCGTCTCCGGTGGCACATCTACCTGCCCGGAGGCGCGTGGTGCGTCACCCCCGCCGACTGCGCCGCCAGAGCCGGCACGCGCCTGGGGTCAAGCAAGAGCTTCCCCGCCAACCCCGCGCACTATGTGAGACCTCCCGACTCCGCCAGTCACGGGGGGGGGGGGGGGGCGTTCGAACGGGGGGGGCGTTCGAACACTGTTCCTGTATTCTTCTTTTCGCTCCTCTCCCCTAATGTTCCCCACTCCCTTGTCCTTTATTCAAGCCTTGCTTTCTTCTGATTCTTGCGAAAATGAGTCCTTCTCTGTCGACCTTTTTTTATCCCAAATTGGTGCAAATATCTCCATCCCCATTCCGCCTCGCTCATCCCCCCATCACGGCATGCCGTCTTCCGATCCGCTTAGTACGCGTGCCCCTCACAATTTCCACCCCCCCCTCCTCTGTCCTCCCCCCCCACCCTCCTTCCGCCTCCCCCCTCTCCCGCGCGGCTGCAGGCGGCGCAGCTGAGGCCGCCGTTCGAGGGCATTCTGTCGGGCAGCGCGCAGCAGAACCCCGCGATGTACCAGTGGAACCTCGTGCGCCTCATCTACTGCGATGGGGGCGGGTACGCCGGCACCAGGGGTGCGCTCAACGTCTCTGCTGCTGCTGCTGTCCCTCCGAACGCAAGCGCCGCTGCCAACTCAACGAGCCCTTCCAATTCCACCAAGTCAACCAAGTCAACCGGGTCAACGAAGTCATCCGCATCCACGACGTCAGCCATTTACCTGGACGGGTGGAACATCATTCAGGCCGTGATTCAAGGTGCGCCACCCGCTCGCCCACTCCACTGTGCTCTGCGTGTGCCCCCTTTGCTGTCTGCAGTGCACGCGGTGTCTTCAACCTCATACTGCCATGGCACCAGCCACTCACCACTAGGTCCCCATTTCCCGCTCTCCCTTTCGCCCCTCCTTGACCTCGTCCGGCCTCTCCCCTCCTCTCACCTATATCGTTTCGTCTCGCCTCGCTCGTCTCAGTGCTGCCTGCTCTCCATCCCTTGGCACTCCAACCCCACCCTCCCTCTCTCTCCCCGCCTGTCCCCTTGCACTCTTTACCTCGTTCTCGCCGCCTTGCCTCTTCACATCCTCTCCTTCTCGCCCGCCTCGCCGCCTTGCCTCTGCCCCTCCTGCCATGCAGACCTCGTTCAGAAGCGTGACATGCGCTCAGCCTCACAGATTCTTCTTTCAGGCAGCTCAGCAGGAGGGCAGGCGACAGTGAACCTCTGTGATTGGCTGGCGTCGTCCTTCCCATCTGCCTCCACGCGCTGCCTCGTTGACTCGGGCTTCTTCCTTGGTACGCCCCACCGCCCTTCACCTAGTATCCTCCAACGCCTTCTCAACACTGTTCCGTGTGCTACGTGTGGTCTCCACGTGAGTAGGCAAGCCTCCAACTCTGAAGCTGAAGCGTTATTGCTAAGGAAGGAACATTTTGGGCGTGTGAAGGTGTGCTTTTCGCATGTTATTTATGGGAGCGGTTGGCTAACCTCACCAGCTAGTAACCTGTTTGGACACAGTGAGGTGCAGTGAGTGCGCTCTCTCCAGCAGTGCACAGAGTGTTTGAACGAGGCACGCACAGCTTGATCACCTCGTGCAACACTCAAGGCCACTTCTTGTGTCTTCTTCATCTATCTCTTCCTTCCTCTGTCGTGCAACAACAATCCATCAACCCTGTCGGACTTCCCCCCCACAGACACACGTGACCGCGCTATGAACTACACCTTTCGCTCGCTGGCTCAGAACCTCACCGCACTGCACCGCCCCTCCAACCCCACCTGCCCCTATGGTACCTCATCTGCTCCCATGCTACCTCATCTGCTCCCATGCTACCTCATCTGCCCCCATGCTACCTCATCTGCCCCCATGCTACCTCATCTGCCCCCATGCTACCTCATCTGCCCCCATGCTACCTCATCTGCCCCCATGCTACCTCATCTGCCCCCATGCTACCTCATCTGCTCCCATGCTACCTCATCTGCCCCCATGCTACCTCATCTGCCCCCATGCTACCTCATCTGCCCCCATGCTACCTCATCTGCCCCCATGCTACCTCATCTGCCCCCATGCTACCTCATCTGCCCCCATGCTACCTCATCTGCCCCCATGCTACCTCATCTGCCCCCATGCTACCTCATCTGCCCCCATGCTACCTCATCTGCCCCCATGCTACCTCATCTGCCCCCATGCTACCTCATCTGCCCCCATGCTACCTCATCTGCCCCCATGCTACCTCATCTGCCCCCATGCTACCTCATCTGCCCCCATGCTACCTCATCTGCCCCCATGCTACCTCATCTGCCCCCATGCTACCTCATCTGCCCCCATGCTACCTCACCTGCCCAGACCCCCCTGCCTCGCCCCCTTCTCCCCCCTCCCCCAACACAGCAGCGAGGCCGGCACAGCAGTGGCGGTGCTTCTTCCCGCAGTACACTCTTCACAACACCTCCACACCGCTCTTCCTCTTCCACACGCCCTTTGACTATGTAGCAGCCATGATTGGTAACCTGCTGCCGAATAACAACACATATGCAAGCAGATGCTTGAAGGAGATTATTAACAGCCAAAAGAATCTGTCAACTGTTGTGAGGAACAAGGCATGGAGCGGCATACGGTGGAATTCCATCTCTGCATGCTCGCAGACTGAGCGTGAAACATTACTCTGGACAGCATTTGGGTTGTACGACCAAGTGAAGATTCTTTCGCAGGAAAGGTCGTCTATAGGAGCGTTCATTCCATTTTCATACGTGCATTCTGCCATTACAAATTCTTATTGGAATATGCCATGGATAAATGGTACGTCCTTATCAAATGTTTTCAACGTATGGTCGAGCATTGTGCTTCAGAATGTGTCCATCATAGTATCTCAATAATGTTACTCAAACCTTTTACCGTACCAGTGCTAACAGGTTGTGTTATGCGTTAGGTTCTAGAGAGCGCAGAATGTATGATAACTGTTACACGTGTAAATGAAAGAGCAAAACTAACGTGTCAAGGTGTTAAGGTGAGATTGTCCGAGTTGCGCGAAAAAAACGAATAACGAAGCTTGAGACTAAATCAACTGACGATATGGTACAATGAAAGGCACTCGATTATTTAGCAGGTCAACCTAGGGAACACGAGTCTGGGCGCAGGTTGGGCGAATGGAAACCGAAGGCGACGCGAGGTTGCTTCGGCAGCAAGCAAACCGGCCGAACATGCACTTCCGAAAAGTATGGGTTGTACGCGAAACAATAAACCCTAGTAAGGAAAAGGGGGTTTTCCTTACACTAACTTGCAGACCCAGTCTTTTCGTAAGCACGCGGGCACGGCGAAGCACAAGCTGGCGATGGCGAGACAAACGGCTGTGCAGGAGTGCGGTGCGAGGCAGCCGCAGATTGACCAGCATCGCGCCACAGTGGACGGAGAGCAGATGCGCGTCGTCGCCCTTCTCGACTCATTGCTGTTCATCAGCAGGTCCGACGCGCCCATGGGGATGTGGGTGAGGTTGGTGCGTTACCTGGCGGAGAAGGGCGTGCCCGGCTTCCCGAAGAAGGGGTACGGCACCTATTACACCACGTGAGTGCAACTGCCGGAAGCTATTTAATACACATCGGTAGGTCAATGTTTTATTTCTATACTAATGTTCTCACTGTTATTCCCATGTGCAGATACGGCTTCGGTGAGCTGACGCAAGCGACTGCGACATGGCTCCAGACAACCCAGCTTGAACACGTGCTGGCATCGCCCTTCGTCGGCATCTCGATTGACGAGAGCACGGATAGGTGCAGCGGGAAGCACCTGATCCTCTTTGTCACGTTCATCCGTGACAACAAGCTTGTCACGGAGTTCATGGCGTTACTTATCGTGGAGAAGTCCGACGCCGCTTCTCTTCTGCGTATTCTGCTGTCGCATCTGCAGGCAGTCGGGATCGACCTTCAGCGCATCGCGGGGATCAGCACCGACGGTGCCAACGTCATGATGGGCAGCAAGTCTGGCCTCACCACCCGCCTCCGCCTGCGCATCCCCCATCTGGTGTCATCCCACTGTATCGCGCACAGGTATGTCGGTTGTTGCATAAACTTGCCGTGCGTTTTTTAAGTTTGTTGACCTTCCCGATATACTAATGTTATTATTTTTGTTGTACAGGGAGGCACCGGCGGCTAAAACAGCCGCCGAGAAGATTCCGGCGTTCAATGTCATTGACATGGTGATCCGCACCGTGGCAGAGCATCTTGACCGTTCAGGGCCATGGCACCAACGGTTCATGGGGCTCTAAGAAGTTTTCGCTTCCACTTCTCTTGAGCTCCAGGGCATTCATTCCGTCCGCTGGCTTTCACGGGGCGACGCAGTGCTCAGGCTTGTTGCTGTGCTTCCGGCTCTCATCGTGATGCTGAAGGAGTGGGACGCAAAGCTGTATGCTCTTGTGACAAGTTACAAGTTTCATTTCCTTCTTTTCTTCATTGCAGATGTGCTTGAGCAGCTCAACATCCTGAACAGGGCGTTCCAGCACAAGGAAGTGAGTAAGCTCATTGTTTTCTATCATTTTTGTTTTGTGCGGTGGCCATTCTGCTATAATCCTGCATGTTTACCGTCAATTGCCACTAACTACCATCTGTCTTGTTTCTGTCCTGCTTGACTATGCGAGCGTGCATGCGCAGATCAAGCGCACAACGTCCCACATCGAGAGCCGCTACGTTGATTGCGGCGACGACTTCGGTGGCGGCGTGAGCGAGCTGCTGTCCCCCTTCATTGCGCGCCATGGGCCAGGTGGAAACCGGGAGGTGAAAGTCGAAGGGGTTGACTCAGACGGCCGTCCTGCACGCTTCACCTTCAGGCTGCATGAGGACGAGCTGGAGGAGTTCGAAGGGCGCGGGACCCACGATGACTGCGTGGAGGTCTGCACGGAGTTCGCGGAGGTGATCGTTCACCAACTCGAGCATCGGCTTGGCAACCTGGAAGGGATGTCTGGGGCAAAGCTATTCATCCCAGACGAGTACCCGCTGGATCGAGTAGAGAGGAATCGGAGGTGCCTTCAGTGGCTACGGTCGCTTGTGACTTTGTTCAAGGCCGACATGACGGAAGAGATACCGCCAGGTAAGCCTATTGAATGGCCGTTATATCATCCTTCATCGTTGCTCTGTTTGTGTGATGTGCTACTCTTCAATGTATGTTTGTACTTGTGTACACATTTTGTTCTTTTGATATCCTTTTCCCAACCCCTCCAGGAGTCAACAAGCGCCGTGCAGAGAAGGAGTTGCGCATGTTCACCTCAGTGCTTGCAGCCTCTACCAAGGGCGAGCGCAGCTTCCACGCAAGGCTCACAGCCATGCTCAAGACACCCGATTGGCGGACAACTACCCCAACCTTGTGCTTTTGTGGGTGTCGGTAGCTGCACTGCCGCTGAGCAATGTGGAGTGCGAGCGGGGGTTCTCCAGGCAGAACATTATCAAGTCGTGGCAGAGAGGCGCGCTGAAGGACGCACGGCTCGGAGATCTCATGTGCATGAGTCTCATGGATTACGAGCCCAAGTGGGAGGAGATTGTGACAATCTGGAGGGCCTACAAGAAGCACAAGCCCCACAGCAACGCTCCACTCCCGCCTGCAGGAAAGCATCAGAACAAGGCCAAGCTGGCAGATGAGGTGATGGAAGTAGAAGACATAGAAGAGGATAATGATGCATCTGACAGTGATGATGATGATGGATTTGATGAGTAGGGTGGATAACTTAGATAGGTAGGAAGGATGTAGAGTCTGTAAGGTAGTTAGAACTGTCTAATGTAGGCTAGTCTAGTCTAGTCTAATGTCAAATGTTGTAGGCCAATCTAATGTAGTTCAACGAAGGCCAATCACAAACAGATCAGACTCCCAGTGAGGATGAGTCTGAACGTTTCAGACTTTTTTTTATGGTGACTCTGAAATTTCAGCTTTTTATAAAAACCGACTCTAACAGTTTCAGACAAAAACTGTAGACAAGTCTGACAAATCAGACAGGCCAAAAACGAATCTGAGGGCCTGGATGGCACCCATGTGTCGTCCTTGCTGGTGCGGTTGGTCCTGCGAATCAAGAAGTCCACATGGCGCCCAGTGGAGTCAAGTCGTACGCAATGCCCCAAGATTTTTTTACGGTCAAGCGTCAGTTCGGGTACAGGTCGTTGTTGGGCTGATAAAAGCCCTTAGGATCGTTTCAAGGCTAAGACTCGAAGTGATGATGTAATTGCGGAAGCGTTGTAGTGAACTGGTTGAACCACCTTGCACTAGTGTGTGAGAGCAAGATAGATTGATTATAGTAAAGTAGTACAAGGCTTTATATGATTACAAAAGAATATGAAAAGACATAACTAACTGTTGCTGATGCGATTCGATACAGCTGCGACTCGGGCAACTGCTCAGTAGTGGGTCAGTTGGTTGTCCTTGCTGTCGCGCTGCCTTTCGATGAGTCAAAGGTCGCTGACCTTTGACCTTCGCTTAACCTCCTTGCTGTTACTTTTGTCAACTTCTTCGTTTGACTCGCTGTTGCTTTGCTGTAGTCTGCCTCACTTACGATTTACTACTTCGACACATCAGAAGCGCAAACTACATGTTTCCAACACTCCCCTTTGCTTATGGAGTGTCGTTGCTGGTGACGTGGCCTTGTCCAGTCAGCAGCATGCAGTACTCGAACTTCTGCTTTCCAAGTTTCTTGGTCAAGTAATCTGCTGCCATCTCGGATGTGGGGCAGTAGGATAGCTCGAGTCTTCCTTTCTCGATCTCGTCCTTCAAGAAGAAATATCGCAGGGCGATGTGTTTCGTTCGGTTCGCGAACCTGTTCTTGTTCGCTATGCGAATTGCTGATTGGTTGTCGCAGAAGAGGGAGAAGCTGGGTAACTGGGCCAGTTTTGCTTCTTCCAGTAGTTCGCGAAGGTACAGCCCTTCCTTGGTGGCTGAGCAGAGTGCTATGTATTCTGCTTCAGCTGAAGAGAGAGCAATTAGCTCTTGCTTGCTCGACTGCCACAAGATAGGACCGATAGGCTCGAGTCGGTAGATATAGCCGGTGCGTGATCGCCTGTTATTGTCATACTTATATGTTGCATGTTGTATAGGCTGTAGTGGGGTAGCCCATATAGGGTACAACCCACTTAGGGTTAGTACTTGTACCCATCTTGCTGCTAGTTCATTCATCCTCGTTCAGCTATTTCGACATGGTTTCAGAGCAGGTCCTAGCCTAGGACCGTTTTTTTTAGGGCCCACCGAATCGCGCTACCCCACACGTCGCGCCGCCCTGTTAGCGCCGCGCTGCCCTGCCCTGCCCTGCGTCGCGCTGCCCCGCGCACGCCCTGCCTTGCGTTGCGCCGCCCGTGCACGCCCTGCCCTGCGTCGCGCTGCCCGCGCACGCCTTGCCCGCGCGCCGCTCGCCGCCGCGCCGCGCCGCCCTGCCCGCGCGCTGCTCGCCGTCGCGCGCCCTGCCCTGCCCGCGCACCGCTCGCCACGGCGCCGCCCTGCCCGCGCGCTGCTTGCCGCCGTGTGCCCTG